GTGAAAATCATACGTTTAGTTAATAATTGTCACATTATTTTGAGGAAATGAGATGATCTTAAAGATTCTGCTAATCATGTAATGAATTGAAAATTAAAGGAAGACAGCTTGTTCTCGATAACAATGACCATCAAGACAAACAAATTTTGAAACAATTTGACTAAGAAAATGTTTAATTTCAGAAAACTGAACGTACCTGAATGCTGTAGGAAATACTCTTGACATTTTTTGTACTCATTTTCCAGAATAGTTACCGTGAGCTTTACATCCCGAAGACCAAGTTCAATTAAAAGTTCCTGTGTAGCAAGGTACTTTTGAGCCATTTCGTTCAGATAACCTGTGCGATAGTCGTTCCACAGTCCGTCAAGTATTTCCAAGGAGATGCATTCCACTGTGATTATCAAACTCCCAAGCTTTGTCTCCACTATCAAAGCTCGACGAACCTCCTTTAAATACCGCACAAATCCATTCAGTTCTTCTGGTTTAGATGGGTCAATTGTGTTTAAGTATTTCATGGCAGCGAGATTTAAAACCTCTTGAGTTGTAGGAGAGGGGCTCCCGGCGACAGGGGTTCCTGCTCCTTCTTCCTGCGAGGTTGCTGTTATCTCAGAGACTCCCGCTTGTGGGTCAGGTATGTCGCAGTCAATACGCAGTGGAAGATGAGCTGATGAGAAATACTGAATAGTTCTATCATAAGATCACAAGGTAAAGTATGAAAGACGCTTTAATACCCAACTTTCATTATGCTAGAAATCTGATTATACATCTAAACATTCGCTCTGACGAAGGGCTAACGCTCGAAACGTCACCTTCGATGGCCAATTTACAATTTCAACTTAGCAGATATAACCAAATTACCTTGTCACCCCCACCGACGCAGCACCACAGTTTCTTTAGAAACTTTCACCCTTTATACATCTAAACTGCCTGCTAATTATCTAAACCAACTGCCATTTACTCGCTAATTGCCCAATAATACCAACTGGTTAACGAAAAGTGCTATATTCTACGATAAATACAACTAGAAGGTGGATTCGTGCCATCAACGCGTTGCAATGAATTTCGAGGGGTAACCACGCCATGAGCATGATAACGTTTCAGCTCTTCTAAATCGATGGTGCTTTTTGAGCTTTCATAAAGCATTCCGTTACGAGATTTGACAAAAGAGGAAAAGTTTCGGACAAAGTTTCCCAAATTAACTCCTTCTGTGTTTTTTCCATTTCTGGAATGTTTTCTTGAATATAAGGCAAACGTTGATTTCTTTCTGCTGTAAAATAAAAAAGAAACGAAGTCAATTTCAACTGACCTCCTTCTTGTCGTGGGTTTTCAGTTAAGACACTAAGCTTCCGATCCATACTCTGATGCAGCTTTCCCAGTTGATACATCTGGTCTTTCATTTCCTGGGTTGTGTTCTCTAGTTTCTCTATGGATTTCTTAACTTCCATATCGTTTCTATACCAGCTCTGCAGTTCTTCCACATTTCGTTCATCTTCTTCTGTGAGGGGGTCTGTCAAAAAGTTAGCAATCGCCCTCTGCCATTCCGTTTCTTTCTCAGGACTAACGTTTCTTGCAATCCTCACAAGGGCCTCACTTATCTCGTTCCACAAATATAAAAACTGAGTATCATCTAATATCTCCATGTTCTGCGTTACGTGACCATAGATAGAGTTCCGGTAGTTTTTAATTCTCGCTAAATCTGCCTCTAAAGTGTGATCTGCACTTTCTGGTAGTTCATCCCAACCTGTCACAGGAGGAGTCCGCACGAATATGTTTCTGAGTATTCTGAAAAGCAGGGTAACATCAAAGTCTTCTGACTTGCCGTAAACCCCTGGGGAAGGGTACAGGCACTCCCACAGTGGTTTGGCGAGCTTTGCTGCTTTAAGTTGATTTACTATCCTCGGATCTTTCAGCAACTTGGGAAGATCATTTGGAGGACAAAACTTGTCAAAAATTTCCCTCAGGAGCGCAGTTCCTCCTGTTATTAGCAGACGAACCAAACGTTGGAAATTTGCTTTGCCAACACTCGAACGAAGTAAGGCGGTGGCCATTTTATTTATCTAGAGGCAGCTGACCGAAATTACATGTTCCCTTATGTAAAATAACAAACAGATAAGCAAACAGTTTCAAATGTGGTTCAAGTTACACCATGGTTGCACTTAGTATTTCATGTTCGTTTTCTGGATGCAGGTCTCGTCGAGGTCAGTGAAATGCTTGTGCTAAAATATGGAAAATCACAACAAACATAGAAAAACTTGATACATACATACGTTGATATACTAGAATAATTGAGAATAATTGCTATATTTATTCTGACACACGTGTTATTTTACCAAACGAAAGAAATCTGAGTTGGTGACTGGTTGAAATAAAGAACTAACTTACGTGGGAATGAATGCAGGAGTAAGTGACCGGATGAAAGAATGAAAAACAGAATGAATGAATGACTGAACGAATGAATGAATGAATGAATGAATGAATGAGTTCATCCGTGAGGGAAAGAATAAATATACCAACANTATCAAATATTGACGCTCGCGCTGTTAAAAATATTTGGTGATTTCTAGAGGTCGAAGGTCAAACTCTATTATTAAATAATATGTCGAAAAATAATCCCCGTTAGCTCGCCATCGGCCATCGACCTCTGGTCGTTACAAAGGTTTATGAAAACCTCGAGCAGTTTGGATGTGTCAATCGTCCGATTGTGTAATAACACCTCCTCAATGGCCAAGAAAACCATGCAGCAAATTACACAAGATTTACTCTATGACACGTGCTTTAGCTCGGGTTAACTTGCTGTTATCCTGGGGCGGTAGAAAAGTTTGGGAGAAAAAATCAGTCCCTTTATAAAGCGATTATTAGATAGATATCGATAGATTCCGTTTATGATGGCAGAATCGGTAAAAATATTATAATTTTTTACAGAGCTAAATCACGGCACGATATCAAACTAAAAATTGAATACATTCATCTTTTGTTTCGAAAAAGGTCGATTAATTTATTAATTTGTCATGCGCTTTTGTTAGGGTCTTGGCAGAGCTAAAGGGGCCTGTATTTACCTGTGAAGAGCTGATTTCTCTTGAGACTGGAAGAAACGGGTCGGAACAGCTTCAGCGCTCACAAGGAATGAGATAGGAGGTGTGGATGATAAATCACAAGATTCGCTTCCTTTTTAAGCTAATATTACAAAGTGTCAATTGTAGACAATGAACCTTTCAGTTTTAGCCCGAAAATATCCGTGACAAGTGATGCACCTTGTTTGTCACGCAACATTTACAGGGACAAACACACACACACACACACACACACACACACACACACACACACTCTCTCCCTTTCTCTCTAACAAAACAATGGTTTCATTACACGAGTGGAAACTGAAACAGCAGGTTTAAAAATTTAGATGGTAGTTTCTAGATTGACTGTTCTAATCTGCTGGTGGGGCTTCCCCTTTCTCAATCTTCCATTGGGAAAAACTAAAGATATCGCTACAAAGCCGCTATTTGAAGACAAAAAAAAAAGGAACACGTTCAATTTTCTTCTTCTATATTATTTCAATGAGTTTCTGTTCGTCTATCCGAACAAAGGTAATAATACACCACATTTTCTGGCGAATCTTTTGGCAGTCTCCTTCGAAGCCGCTCGGGCCGGAGTCACGCAACGCTCCCAAAGGAGACTAATCTTTTGGCCGCCAACTAAATAATCAATACGTACTTCTATGAGGTTCTGTTCAGTGTGTCTTTCACATCATAAATCAAGTGTCTTCAAGCGGCTTCATCGCCATTTCTCATCAGTTGAACGTAGCAAAAAGCTGTACATTTTATTCAAAATTCTCTACTTTAGCAGTTTTCTTGGGTAGCAAATCGATGCAAAATGATACTATAAATTGATCTGGCGAAAAACTAACGTTGTGGAAACCTGCTGAACAGCAGAATCTTTGCGTTCCCAAGCGAGAAAACGGGGTAGGCGCGAGGTGAACGCGTGGGGCGAAGAACGCGACTGTGACGAGGTACTCGCTCACGCTCGCCTGTATCCTGTAGGCTAGTGGAAACCAAACTGTACTCATAACACGCGTTAGGCTGGGATCTACTTATGTTTGGCATCATAAGGACACGCTAACTCCAAGGACATCATATTTCAATTTAGGAGTTAAAGAATGAGCTTTAGTAAGGACAATAAAGAATACTATAGAAAAACTATTACTGACAGGCATATAATGTTACCTAGACTGTGAAGGATACCGATGTTTAGCAATTTAAACCTCAAATAAACTGAACTGAATTATGAGACTTTTCAAGCTTTTTAGCATATAACTGTGGTCATCAAAAGGTTATAAGGTATTCAGGATAACACTGATTATCAAAGAAAACAACGAAGATGCTGGGGCTCGATTGGCTATTTACCACAGAATCGTATAGGATTTCAGGTTTCGATGGATTTTTGGGCGGAGGTACAATCATTGAAGGATTTCCAACACAATACTGTCCAACAAGGACCTTGGCAAGGTACATGTAGCGACCTCCATAACGACCATGCCCAGCGTATCCTACTGAGTATTGAGCGTCTCTGGCAAAGTAGACTCCACGTCCAAATTTCGTGCCTGGAAAGAAAATTGCATTTCAAATGATTAAACAGCAAGGATGATGAAAAGCTCTGTTGCACCGTAACATTAGAGTAAAAATATCAAACAAAATCAAACGTCCGGCAATGTTACTTGTTATGAAAGAAAAATTAGATTCCTCTTATTGCATAGAGCTTTACCAAGAGAAAAATAATGGTCCATTTATCTTCTCTTGGCTTTACAATGGTATTTTCTATTTCCTTTTCTCTTTTTACAATTTTCTGACTCGAAAGTGATTGAACTAGAGCTGATTGAACGTCTGAGCGTCTTGGTAAGACAGTTTGACAAAGAAATAGATGAAATTCTGGCCAAAAAGCTATCGATGAAGCAAAATAAAAACTAATTCAGTTTGATTAACTAGTGAGGTGTTACCGCTCGAAACATTGCTTCATCCACTCTATTTACTCACACGAAGCTTTCAACATTAATTGCTGATTCTAGCAGTATGTGGGACTCATGTAACATGTGAGTCCACCAAAAACCCTACCCCTGTCGTTACAGTTTATAGCTCAACTGCTAAGTGTCGGAACACGAAATCCGTAGGTCTGAGGTTCGATGCCTGATACATACTCGGAATCATTTCTTTGCCGCATTCCGTTACAAGACGACAAACATTTGGTTATTACGGGTTGATTCGTTAGAAAATTGTCATGCGTTTTAAACATGAGCCTCTGACTCGGATGCAAGGGGAACTT